TTATGATTATTGCATAATTTAAACTGTTCATGCTGTATTGTTTTGTCTGAATCATATTTTCATTTTTGGTTCACAATTTGTGTTTACCCATATGCTCAAAGTCATTATATATGCATTATGGCATTGAATAATTCAGATACAGTCTTTTGCGCTGGGGATTGTGTGCACAATGATGGATCATGTAAAGACTTCAATGTTGTCAAGTGCACTGTTAGGTTATGCAAGTGTATGTAAATAGGATGGGGGCATTATGAGAGGGGGGTCCTCTACACTGTGCTAGAAGCAACATCTGATACAACATTCACTTAAAATAACTTTTAATAATGTTACCATTGCTTTAACTTTTCATTTATTGTGATGTTGTGTACGTTATTGTCCTCGTTACGCCTATCCCCGTTTGATACACACCACATGACATATGTTCTGCTCAGCTGTGGTGTAAAGTCAAAATGTGTGACTATACATTTTGTTTCTGTGGAATCAACCAATGTGCATTGGATGCAAATAAGAGATCTTTAGAATACCCTACAAGTTCTAAATACTGCAAATGTGTGGAAATAATCAAATATATGACAATTCAACATGTCAATATACAGCACATGTAAGATGACGCACAGGTACTAGAAGTATATCACAGAGAATATTCTAATAATACAGGGCGCTGTGCACTGAAACCTGCAATTACCTGTGTACTCTGTGCCTCATGTTTGCAGTTGGAGTACGCTTTGAGCCACGCACAACATATACTTATAAACTAAAATACAAGGTATTAAGAGGTCATTTTTCGATATGAATAGAATGGGTTTCTGCAGTAAAAGGGTAGTTTTATAAGAATAAAATGTCATAAAGTGTGTGGGGAGTTGGATGAGAAATGATTCAGCCAATCTTTGTCAAGAACACTGTAATCCATTAAAAACCTGACTGGAGGCGATGTCCCCCCTTAACAGTTGGTTACTTAGATAGGGTACACTATATATAACTCCGCTGCCCAAAGATGAACAGATGTGCTTCTCTGTACAAGCTGCCATTGACATTTCCAAAGCTGCTCTGGGGTCTTCTGCTCTCCTCCACATTAGGAGGAGCGGAGGATAGGGGGGAACACACCAATGCTGCCAACAAACAGGAGGAGACAATAGCTGAAGTAAAAGTACTCATACTACAAAATTATACTCCTCAACTTCTTCAGGAGCATCAAAAAATTACAAATCAGTACGAGTAGGATGTAAACTACTACTATGAGAAGGATAATCATATAACAAAATAAACTCAACTCTTTTGACAATATTTCTACTACTGCAAAAGCAAAAGGGGGAGGAAATATATAGCTTTTTGGACCAAACCGTTTCCAGATTAGAATTTTTGACAAATAATTTAGTATATTAGAATTCGTAAAAGATATAAACATGTAAACAAATACACATATTTTTGTGACTTTTTAGTCATATTTTAGTGACTATGGATCAAGAATACTAAAATCTGTATTTACTAAATTTGTATTAGTAAGACCACATTCTACTAATTATTTTCCAAGCCAAAAAGTCCCACTTAGCTCCAAACAACAACAAATTGGCAAAATGGTTTGATGAATGGCAACTAAAATGAGAGATGTTTTTAATAAAGCTTGCCAACCAGCCAGGATACACAGCACACACTTTGACTTATCAACAAAGGTTTCTGGTTTAATGCATGTTTTGGGTGTGTTTTTAACAAACCAAGAGGATATTCTTAAAACTGAACATGAGTAACATCCAGTGAGGTTTAGCTCCGGAGAGGGTAGTGAATACAACGTGGCCAAATCCATTGCAGGTGGTATTCAAACCATGAATTCCCCGGAGTGAGTCGGCTTGTCAGGAGTTGTAACTGTTACGAATGGCTAATGTTGCTTGTTAGCATGGCACATCGGTCCTGGAAAAGGGAAAAGGGAGGATGCAGTGTAGAGCCCCATTCACATAAGGTCCCATTAAAATGCTGGGAACAAAATACAAGGACACACACGTCTCCTGTCCATGTTCTTTTACCGTAAACTGAGGAATTTTAATGTTGACAAAACGTTTATGAAAATACTTTATTCTTGTTTTGTTGAATTGGTTCTAACCTTCTCTTTTATTTGCTGGCTTGGAAAGTTATCCGTTAAGAACAAAAAAAAACTCTGAAGAGTACAGTGTGCTCGTATGGCAAAATAGCTGGAGTCACTTTTTCTGACCTCCAGGACGGCCACAGGGCTCAGATCCTAAAAAGAGCCCAGCAGATGCCTTCGGACGCCACCCACCCACTGTGGGCAGAGTTTAAGACGCTTCCATGTGGCTGCAGATATGGCTCCACCAAATGTAGGACTAAGAGATTTAAGAACTTTTTCATCCCTGTTGCCCTGGGTATTTTAAACCAGTCATTGTAGTCCTGTTTGATTATGTAATAATTGTTTCCTAGTGTATATGTGTGCCTTTCTGCTTCAGCAACCAGATTGCCCCTCGGGTATGATAAAGATTTCTTGAACCTTGAACATTGAACCTTAAAACAACCTACTGTATAACAAAATAAGAAACATATAAAAGAACACAAGGAAATGTGAAAATAACCTACATAAATATGGAAAGATTGAAGGAGAGAGGGAAAGATAGAGGCTACAGTATCTATTGATCAAAGTGAACTGTTGGCTGCAGTGGACTCGTGATGAGGTGGAGTTTCTCTCTTAACACCATACATGACCTGCATAAAGGCCATCCATCAGCGTGCACTCCGGCCCATTCCTCCTGCTGTCACCGCCGGGGAAGGACTTTTTCGGTGTGTCTTTGTCAAGGCGCATCTACCTGTTACAGTATGTGTGTGTGTGTGTGTGTGAGTGTCTGTGGTGTTACTCAGCAGGTGAGGCCAGAGAGGTTCGGGGTTGACCTAGTTTAGCTGCGGGAGAGAAATATCACCTCCGCGGAGAAGAGGTAATTGGCTGCCTCCGACTGTCCTTCTGGCTCATTGTGGGCTGTAATAGGTAATTCACATAGGCCCTTTTAAAGACCTCGGCGTTGAAGAAGCAGCGCATGTGTGTGGATATCTCTTTATGTCTGTATCCACTTGTGCTGCAGCAGATTAATTAACCTCTGCGTCTATATGAATGCGTGTGTGGGAGTTATGAAGCAAATCTGGGACAAATGCGGTATTCTACACAGTGCACAAACAGTCTTAAGGACGCTGCTGGGCAAAGTTAATTTGTTTGGAGGCTTATAATGTGTTGTGCCCTCCAAGTTTGGGGTCAATATAGAAAGGAGTTAATAGAGTCGCCATTAACAAAGTCTTATCATCACCATCAGGAAATAAATGATTAAGCAAAGTAATTGGAGGCTTACAGAAACCTTTGTGCAGTTTTTGTCAAATGAAAATGTTTAATGTAGTTTTTGTTCATGTGTTTTCATAACCTTTCATAGAAGTGAGCAGAATATAAAAACATTGGTAATTGCTGATCAGGCTTTCACATACAGGTGGCTCGACAAAATGAGATGTGATACTTTGTGATGTGAGCAACAAAAAATCAAGTAAAAAAAAAAAATGGCCGACCTCAACTAATACATTATTGGTTTACTTTAATTATATTCATTCAATCATTCATTCATCTGGTTTGCTTTCCCTGAAAATAGTAATTCAGTATGATATTGTGCATCAGTCATGCCTATCCCGGCTTCATACACTGGTTTGATCCCTATAAGATATGATTGTGTAGTCTTTGCAACACGAGGTATCTGATATCGACCAAGATTATTCTAAAACTCTTCAGGAATGGGCCAACTGTGCTGATTAATACCTGTTTATCCTCACTTAAAAAATAAAGTTCTTACAAATGTATGAATGCTACAATTGCAGACAACTCAAAATTGAATATTATTGGACATTTTTCTTTGTTCCTCACGATCTTCAACCATCACGTCAACTTCTGACTGCACATGAGACAGACAAGAAGAGCATTTCAAAACCTGAGTGAACCCAGGGGCGTCGGACACGAATGGATGGACCGAATGCGGAACATGTACAATACACGTGTTGCCCTTGACATGTTCTGACGGCTTCGCCATGTGCACCTCAAAGAACAGATCTGGATCTCACTGGGTGTTTACCTAGTTAAAAAAAGGTAAAATATGATCACCTTTAACATTTTATCATGTGCATAATGGTCCCATTCAAATACTGGGGGTACAAAAATACCTCTACATCCATTACATACACACCGGGCCCAGATATTTCACTGGACTACACTATTTAAATGGGATTCAGGGCGCGTTCACACTGGTTGGTCTGGTTCACTTCAGCTGATCAAATTCTGATTCACTTTCAAGTATAGAAAAATAAATGCTTTTTATGTCCGCTCGTCACTTAAAGGATAAATATGTAAAAGTCTGGCAAAAAAAGGTTCTGCAACCTCTCACACTCTCCCTGACTGGTTGCCAGATATGCAGACACATCCAGCTGGGACCATAATATCTGAATAGATAAGAGTTTTTTCAACTATAAATCTATAACCCAATACATTTTTCACAAAGTCCTCGGTAATCATTGTGTTATTACTTGTTTTGTGATTAATGATTTGAGAATCATTACGAGACCTTTTTTAGTTCTGTGGCCATATGTTACTTTACCAGTGAGATTAGCTCAACGCGGTGAGTTCTGGCAACCCGGATCATAGACTTTCTGCTTGGTAAAACGGTGGAGGGCGGGACATTGAAATGAAAACAATAACAAGATTTAGGGGGTGTAAAACTAATTTTGAAATTTAAATATCTTTGAACTACTGTTATCAGTTAAAGAAGTATTGGAAAAGAGCATAGTTTATTAATGCCTTTTGACAAATTAGGGCCATTTCATGATAACTTTACATGAAAATCTTACATATCGCTAAGTCAGTTTAAATCTTTTGAAACAGATCAGTGAAAATTGAACCAGACTTGTGAAACAGACAAACAAGTCCTTATTTCTGGAAAATTTCATGTTCTAAAACCAAAATGCGTGCTGCGTCTCACCGGGTTGCGGCTGGCTGTAGTTGCTCTGGCGCTCGCGGTGTGACCCCAGCGTCAGGCGCAGCTCGTGGGTGTAGTCGGGCAGAGTTTCGCGTGAGGTGTAGGAGCGGTGGTGGGCCCGTCCGTCCTCGCTCTCGTCCGATGAGCTGGTGTAGGACATCTCCATCTCGTGGCGGCCTTTCGACAGTGGCTGATACGGTTTACTGTCCATCTCCTCCATGGCTTAGGGCGACTGTTCAGGCGGTCAGAGCGGCCTCAGCACACAGCACAGAGTCTGAAGACAAGAGAGAGCCGGCATAAGTCAATAATTATGCTCCTTATTATACGCTTATGAGGGGAAATGGGGATGAAGGATGTATACCTTTCTGTGCATTTTCAGCAAGTAGATACCAGTGTAATTGCTGCTATGGATAGGCTGGTTTATTCTTTTTTAGGTGTCAACTTTGCATATTGCCGTGGAAAGACAGGAACAATATACTCCTCATTAGTTCCAAATCTTATAATGTTTTATGTTTCATTTAAGGGGAGAAAAATTTAAGAAAATGTTGCAAAACAGTACAATGACAGAAAAAAAGGACAAGAATAATAAAAAGATATAAAGAGTACAAAAATAGAATAAATAATGTATAAAAGAAAATGAAAGCAAAAAATGAATTCCATATCAAATCTATCTAAATCCCCACCCCTCAGTATTTGCATTGACGGCTGCCTGGTTTCCATGTCTTAACACGGCAAAAGTGAAGGTGTTATACTGGACTTCTCTCTTTCATTTACAGCTCAAATCGCACAGCTTTTTTCCACCTACGCAAGATCTGCCAACTCCTCGCATCTCTCACCCAACACTCAAGTTCTTGTTTATGCATTTCACGACTTCATGACTCGACTATTGTAGCACCCTTCTCAATGGTTTACCCCAAAAACACATCCTAAGTCTCCAATATTTCCAGAACTCTGCTGCTAGGATCGTCACCAAAAAAAAAACCCAGCAGAGCACATCACTCCGGTTCTCATCCAACTCCACTGGATCCCCATGACATCCAGAATCCAGTTTAAACTCCTCACATTCAAAGCTCTCCATAAAATGATCCACCCTTACACCCGGTCCCGCTGACCTCTCTGTCCCCATAATCAAAATGTCCACAATGGGGGCCAGAGCATTCAACCACTCTGTCTGTTCCCAAACTCTGGAACACAGTACCAATTCACCTACGACAGTTGGACTCTCTGGACATTTTCGAATCACATCTCAAAACCTACCTTTTTGAACTTGCTTATTCTTTGTATTATGTAAACCATGAAAAAAGTAAGGCGTCCTTGGGTGTCTTGAAAGGCGCCATGACATAAAATGAATTATTCTTATTGAAGGGAGCGACCTGGTGAAGAAACGGCACCTCTGATGTTAGTTTAGCACTTTAAATTATGCCTTTGTCTCCTGTGGTGCGCATTGCTTGCTTGGTATTAATTGGAGGTAAGAATTATGTCACTGCACAAGTTCTAAGTCCAATATCGATGTTTCTACATAGGCTTCATAAGAATAATGATGGTTGACAATATCTCGGTTTTTTGTTCAATAATGGCTAAAAAATAATCTGGTTAGTATGATGTACAGAAAAAAAGACAATTAGCAATAAGAGATTAAGCAATACTTTTATAGGCAACTGTGTCAATATAGACGGCCCCAACTGCTTTGTAAAAAAGGAATTCTTCCACTACCTCTGCTATCGTTAAAACAAAACAAATGTTTGGTTCCTTCTTTACAAACTTGGTTGGTCTTACCAGCTGGAGAAGTAGTTCTTTTATCGTGTGGGAAACAGTCATGTGAAATGGTGGCAAACACATCCCACCTACTGATGCGACTCAACCCCCATGCCTTTGTTGCTAAGCGGTGATATGGCAAACCACTTTGACGAAGGAGTTGTAAAAAGTAGAACGAGCCAACTAAAAAGACAGCATGGGAAAAGAAATATATTGGGAGAAGCCTTTTATTGAACACAGCGGAACAATGGCGTAACATCTGCTCGTTCCAATTACAGCAGGCATTCATAAACACTATTTGGCTGCTTTCATATTTCACGCCAAAGGTTAGTCCCAAATCAATACGCGGCAGAGGGGACTCTGATGGTGGCCATTACGGGCCTGCATGTGTTCGGAGAGAAATGGGACAATATCTGAAGAGTACTTTCCCCGGCTTTATCTCTGTTACAGGCATCGACAAACACACCATAGATCCACAATGTTTCAGATAAGACTGGATGACTGTCTCTATTCCAGTGAATCACGGGCATCTGTTGTAATGATGAAAGTGCATTGTATTATAGCTGCTGCAATGGGAATCTAGTAGAGAGTTATTGATGTGTGAAAAAAGCCAAAACTTCAAACAGAGCTAAACAATTCTACACTTAGGGTGTATTCAGACCTGAAAAGTCCTTTGCTCCGCTTGCTTGATCCGAATCAAAAGCGGACCAAACTTTTTTCTTTTGCTCCGGTTCGTATTCAGACTGTCCTTTTTGCAAGTGAACTTTTTTATATAAACATATTGACACGTGTGACGATCTGCGCTCCTATTGGTCAGCGAGAGCTCACGGAGGATAGACGCGGAACCGGCGGAAAACATGGAGCTCGTATGTGCAGCATGTCTGCTCTGCCTGTGTTTGCTCTTTTTAGAGCAAAACCCCCTTCAACATCAACAGCAGCTCATATGACACAGGCGAAACACGTTGTTTTAAATATTGGAACAGTGTTGGAGAATGTGTGAGGAGAAAGACGAAGGAGACTGTCTGTGCGCTCCGTGGCCTGTCCCACACATGGATCTATTATAATAAAAGGCCCTGTTCAGTATTGTGGATAAACCATGGATCTATAATAACCACGGGACAAACAGACGCTGAGGATAAGGTAGGAACCAAAGAACACAATTCACTACATGATGCGGGATATTGCTCTTTGAGACGTGAGTCAAACAGTGTCAGGCTTTTAATAATGCAAATGGTTTGAAGATGCTGCCATTAACATCAATGTGAACTGTGAACAGTTGTAACTCCATAAGTCTGTTGCACAGCGTCTCCTCACTGCTCCAGGTCTGCACACGGCTCAGTGTTGTTGTGTAGCGTTAGCAGCATAGTTAGCAGCAGAGTTAGCAGCATAGTTAGCCGCTGCATGGCTAATTCCTCAGTTTCTGTCTGCGGCTTGTTAAGCCCAAAAAATGCGCACGTATCTTGGAGTTGTGTCGGATCGACACCGGATGTATTCAGACCTGATTCGACTTGGACCAGAATTCGTTTGGAAGCGGACCGAGACCACCTCAAAAAGTGGGTCTCGGTTCGGTTCTTTGGTCCGGACCAGGATTCGTTTGTGTGTATTCAGACCTGCATAAAAGCTTCGGATCAGAGTTCCAAACGAATCCTGGTCCGTTTAAAGTGGAGCAAATGTGCAGGTCTGAATACACCCTTAGATTAGTGCTAAGATAAAGCAAGTGCATCCACTATGTCTGCACAATGCTGGAGTGCAATATGTGATTGTGGTGAGTACTGTGATAACAATTCATGGCGCAATAATGTCCTTCCTCCCAAAAACTATGCAACATTTGCCAGTTTAGAACAACCACTACCTCAAGAGGCTGTGGGTTTTACCAAAAGGCCAAGCAAATGCATCAGGGAAAGATAATATACATGCAATAATTGAAAGTGATTGCACATCTTTACAATATCATGACTGTATTTGCCTGTATAGCAATAACTTGTATTTGTCATAATACAGAAAGTCCTAGCCTATCATCAATCAGGACATAAATATTTCACTATGACTGTTCAAAGTGGGGTTGTTTCCTGGTCGCAGAGGCCCACAGATCCATGCACACTTCCTCCGACTCATCCAAGGGAGTCCCGATGTGTGCCCCGGCCAACGGAGACAAAGTCCCTGCAGCGTATCCTAGACATAGACTGGGTCGTCCCCAGGGTATCCGCCCGCCTGGAACACCTCCCCAGGAAAAGGTCTGGGAGATATCCGAAACAGATGCCTGAACCATAAATGATATTATATTCAGCGCTCTAATTGCAATAATCCAATTGTATGATAACATTTGAACTGTTGTCAGATGTAATTTTATGGTTTGTAATGTGTTCTGCATTTCTTGTGTTAGAACTCTTCATTCTCTGATCTGCATTGGTGAATTCAACAGTTTTGTTAAGTCCTCCGAGATAACTACTGTTGTGATTTAGGGCAATAATACATTTAATTGAATGAGATTGAACAAAAGTTAATCTAATTGATTATTGAAATGGTTGTCAACTATTTCCAGACACAATTTAAACTTTAGATAAACGTAAACTGAGCGGAGGTTATATGGCTCAGACAGATTTATAAATACTTCATATTAGAACAAAAGTATTTTGAATCAAACAACCCAAGGTGAAACAAGTCTCTCTAAGATTTTCTCCAGGGTCATCACTTTAGCTTTGTTTTGGTCAAACATATAAGATTCCAGGGGGCGATAGTGGCTCAGTTGGTAGAACATTGGCCTTAGAGCCTGAAGGTCGTGGGTTCGAGCCCACCACAAGACCTACTTCATGACTCCCACTGATGACTGCTGTCGTTGTGTCCTTGGGCAAGACACTTAACCCCACTTTGCCTGAAGCCACCAGTGAATAATCAAGGCTCCTGTGTACTCACCACCTGCAGGAGGATCAGTGAGGGGCTGTTGCTCTGTGAACTGGGTGCAGCTCTGACTGCCACCCCCCCGACCCAGAAATGGATTAAGGGGAAGAAAGTGGGTGGATGGATGGATGGATAAAATATTCAATTTTCACTGACCTTTCCAGATCTAACCAACTAATCGATGAATCCAGGCATGTCCAAACTAACGGCCGTGGAAACACAAGATATCAGTGTCATTCAGCCAACTTCAGCCTCACCAAAATAGGTATGCTATGCCTCGCTGTAATGCTCAGAACCTATGGAGCATTATAGTTGCTTTTTGATTGTTCAAGAGAGATGAGTGCTGCAGTGGGTCCAACTTTGTCAGGTGCTCACCAGGATCAGAAGTGGCAAAAACAATGGAAACGTATGAAGATAGGAGAAAAGTCAAAGGCACTCTTGACAATAAAATATGAATCCGTAACTGAACAGGGATTTTTCCGCTACATAGGACCTTCTTCGGGGCATGTGTGCATGTTTTTTTGATTGTGTCATAACATTCTGAAGACGAAACTTATGTATGTGGTT